TCATTCGTCGACGGACAGCCTCGCTATCTTGAGCAGCTCCTCGCTCCCGCTCTCTATCACACAGCGCTCGCATGCTTTCACTGCTCGGCATAGTTCAGACCGGCAGGCAGCAGCATGGCAGCCTATCAACCCACCGTTGGAATGGTGCATGACGTGCAAGAGCGGTATGCTCGGAGCCATGGCAGCTGCCGCCTCCTCCTTCAGCCCGAAGCCGCTGAAGATCTGACAAGAGACAAGTCACTTGCTGCTCAGCAGGCCTCCAGCAAGCCCCCAGCTGGGAGGGTCTGACCGCACCTGAGCAGCTATCGGCATCATCTTCGCCTCCTCCAACGAGTTCGGCATCTGCTCCCTGAACCTGCCAGGGAAACGAAGAGAGTGAGATCTAGGAGGAGAAGGAATGAGAGGGAGTAGGAGGAGAAGGAATGGGAGAAGGAGGACGGGGAAGGTTCAGAGGGAGTAGGAGGAGACTAGCTGAGGGCGAGTACCAGGCGATCATCGTGCGAGTGATGGAGAGGATCTGTTCAGGAGACGGCAGACACTGCTTGGAGGGATCCACCTGCCCAGGAGCGAGTTCATCTCTCTTCGTAGTCTTCCCTCCTCCCTCCTCGCTGTCTCCCTCCCTCCTCTTCTCCTCCTCTCTCCCTCCTTCCTCCCTTCTCTCCCCCTCCCTCCTCGCTGTCTCCCTTTCCTCCTTTCATCCCTCCTCCACTTGATACCTTGCAGAGTTGATCCGAACAAAACCGCACAAAGCATGCCATAACCTGCCTTATCATCATCTCCCTGACTTGCAGCAGCACCATCCTCCTCCTCAGCCCTGCTCGCCCCCCCTCCTTCCCTCCTTCGATCGCATGCTCCACGACTTTCTCAGGTCTCTCTCTACCGTTCAGTATCCTTCCCTTCCAATACTCCACTATTTCTCCCTCCTTCCCACATTCCCACTCCTCCTCCTCCTCCTCCTCCTCCTCCTCACCGCCGCGTTGGTCCAGTGCATGGGACCGAGCTCTGCCTCGCACACCTGCCCCAGCTTCCACAGTTGGGGACCATCTAGTTGAGACCTGAACCCGCCTCACCAGCATGCGAATGAGGAGGAGGGAAGAGAGAATGATTCAGGGAAGAAGGAGGGAGGAAGACGAGAGGAAGGAGGAGGAGGAGGAGGAGCAGGGGGGAGTGAGGAGAGGGAGGAGGAGGAGAGGGAGAAGGAGAGGGAGGAGCAGGGAAGGAGCGGAGAGGAGCGGGAGGAGCAGGAGAGGAGCGAGAAAGGAGAGGGAGGAGGAGGAGCGGGAGGAGCAAGAGGAGAGGGAGGAGGAAGATGAGGAGGAGGAGAAAAGGAGACAGAATCACCTGAACTCGACTGGGTCTCTACAGCACTCCTCGAAGACGGTCTCCTCCAGCTCCTCCTCTTGGCTTAGCGGCAGCTTGTCCTCGTCCGGGTGCTCCAGCTCGAAGTCGCAGCCCTCAGCATGGCACCTCCATGACGTCTCGACCCGAGGCTTCACTCGCGTCCCCTCTCTTCCCTTCTTCTCGATCTCCTCGAAGTTGACGATGCTGTGCTCGGGCATGCACTCGCTCCCTGAGCACTTGGGACACCGCAGCCTTCGCATGCTGTCGGGCCGCCGGCATCGCTGGCAGTAGCAGAAGAAGCCGAGCCGGAGGAGCCTCCTCCTCCTCATCCTCGTAGATGCGACCATGATGGGACCCCCACCGATGTAGGAGAACGTCAGCATCTCCCCCTCCTCGATCCTCCTCGTAGCCACGTACTGCAGGTCGTCACCCTGACTCCTGCAGAAGGTGTTGGGCTCGCAGCTATGGGCCAGTCGGGTGGAGAGGTCGTAGAGGAACTCGCCATGGCAGTTGATGTCGAAGATCAGGAGGAACTTGACCATCAGGTCTGCCGTGCACCAGGGGAACTGTCGAGCTATATACTCGTCTTTACACAGCAGGTCGCAGGCTCGCCGGCAGGTGTCCAACTTGGAGGGGTCGACATGTGAAGGAGCGAACAGGTTGAGAGCACGGCTCCTCACGGACTCATC